AATATTAAAAATAACTTCAAATACTTTTAGTTAATTAACAACAAATTTTGATTATTAATTTATCTATTAATTGATAATAAAAAAAATTATTCGATCTTTCAGATTTTCCCTGCATTGCACGGGTCCTTACTAGTATATATATATAGCAAGATGGTCCACGTTACCATGCCTCTCCTTGCTCCAAACTGCCATGCTGCTCTCTCCTTAACTCTCTCTCTCTCCTTTTCCCTTCTCAACCCTCTATTAAGCCAAGTCACCAATGCTTTTAGCCTATCCCATTAGGCCACATCATCTCTTTTCTCAAGAATTTGAATCTTAATTTCACTCTTCACCAAATCGTGTTTACCAAAAAGCTTTGCCACTCTCTCCTTTTTATTAGGAAAGTGGCAAAAAATTCAGGAATCTATTTCTTATGGGATTATTTTAGAAGAGCCCAAATTTCCTACAAACTTTTCCTACCCACTCTCTACCCACGGTGAATTGGAGCCACACACATCTCTATTATGAATTAAGAGATTTGTGGCTCCAATTCAGGGCCGGTAAAGAATGGATAAGAAATCCCAGAGTGCTTTTAGAAGCCTTCACACTTAGCTGGTTTTCCCATGTTTCTTCTTCTTCTTCTTCTTCTCACTTCTTCTTTTCCTTATTCTGTGATTTTAAGAATGCATCTATTCTTTTTAATATTTTGTCCATAGGATGATTGGGATTTATTGAAAATGATTGAGATTGATTAATAATGGGTTCTAAAAACATTTGGTCGTGTTATTGAAAATATTTTGTCTCTAATTAAATTGTTTTTGTGAGGAGCCATTTGGTTTACGAGGTACATTGATTTGAGTGTAGAGAATCCTACTATGCTCTGTTCCAACGCGTGAAATAGTTTTTTCCACAATAAGAGACAATCGGGCTGAAAGGTTGGTGCTTTCTCTGTATTTTGTTTTGAGAGTTGAGTGTATAGTAGGAGGATCCATTTAACTCTATTTTTTTATTTTTCGGTTCCAATTTAGTTGTTATAATTGCAAATTAGTTTGGGTTATTGAAAAGTTGGAAAAGAGGGTTTAATGTAGAAGTTTGTGGCCAAATCAGGTATGCTTTTATACCTCTTTTTGTGTGTTTGTGATCTCTCTACTCTTTACACTAATCCGCCTTCACTCTCTTCTCTGCCACCCATCTTTCCATCATATGAGGAAGGCCATTTAGCCAGGGGCGGAGTCAAGAATATTTTGAGGGGGGCCAAAACTTATGGATGGGGACCATAGGGGGGGCCAACCATTGGGTGAAAAGTGAGGGGAGGGAACAAACTTACATAGAAAAACTGTATTGAGTGTGTAAATTTCTGGACCATAGGGGGGGCCATGGCTCCCCTAGGTCCCCCTTAGCTCCGCCCCAGCACTTAGCCTACCTAAGTGTGACAAATTGGTATAATGAGGGTGATAGGTTGTTAGTGATGTTGTCAGAGAGAGAGATGGATTTGAAAGTGTCGCCATTTGAAAAACCAATTAGGTGTGAACTGGGCAAGCTCCAATGGCACTATGATTCTACAATGTTTGCTGGTCCATGAATGGTAGAGGTGGCCACGAGCCGAGCTTTTCATGAGCTATTCGAGTTTGACTCGTGAAAAATTCGATTCGACTCGGTTTAAACCGAGTTTCGAGCTGAATTTGAGCCTAATATATATGATCATTTGCTAATCGAGCCAAGATCGAGCCCAATGAAGTTCGGTTCATGAGGCTTGCAAGCCTAGTATTAAATAAATAAATTTTATTATACATACATATATAATAAATTATTTTATTATATATAATAATATTTTTATTAATATAGTATTTTTATTTTTATGTATAATAGTAAATAATTTTTATAATTCTTATTTTCTTGTATGTAAAATAAAAATAACTTTTATAATTATTTTTTGTATATATAATATTTAATAATTTTTATAATTCCTAATTTTTTGTCTGAAAAATAAAAAAATAATTTTATACATATAATTTTTATTTTTCAAAATAACTTGGCTTATAGTCAAGTTTAAGCCAAGCCAAGCTCAAACTTACAAGCTATGAACCGAACTAAGCTCGATTTCCACTCTCTAACTCAAATCGAGCTCAAACCTAATACTATTCCTGCAAGTCGAGATCGAATAGCCAAATATTTGGCTCGACTCGGCTCGACTCGAATCCACCCACAGTGAATGGCATTGTAGCATCAAACGGTGACGAAGAATGTGTATTCGGGTCAAATGTAACCCACTTTTCTTTATTTCCAAGGTCAACTCGAATACACTATTAATAAGCTACCCTTAATTTCTTTACTTTATTAACCCATTGAGAATAACCATTAGTCAAAAATCCCAATTGATGGATAAAGGGCCCCAGTTGTTTGATAGATCCCGGATAATAATTTCAGTAATTATTGTTTATGAATAATTGTTTATTAATTAAATACTATCATGTTTGAACATCATTAATTGACTAACAATAATATTGTATATTTTTAATAACAATAACATTGTTATTGTATAATTAATGAATAATTATTGATATATTACTGAATTATTGTATATTTCTCAATATAATTACTAAAAATTTACATTAAAAATGTTGAAAATTAATTATTTGGATCAGTAATTACCGGAAAATTAATAATTAAAAATTATTGAATAATTACTGATACTTTTGGTAATATAAATTTATTTTTAGTAATATCAATTTATTTTAATATTTTCAGAAATTAGTTTTCAAAATATCAATTTACAAACAATTACTTTTAAAAATATTTTTTGATATTTTCAAATATTTATTGAAAATTTTTAGTAATTTTTAGAGTAAAATTAATTTCAGTGAAAGTTAATTTCTTATTTGCATTCTCAATATTTTTAATTTCTGAAATTTCAGTAATTTATTTATATTTTCATTAATTTAAATGCCAATGAAAGGTTAATAATGTAACCCATTAATAAAATAATGGTTGGGTTGGATTGGATAGGCTCACCCAACTTGGGAAATGGTTATTTTGCTTGATAGGGCCCATGTATTGCTTGGGTCCATGTGTACCCAGTTTGGGTAGCAAATTGGGTACTCGATCTAGGTTGGGTAATTTATTTAATTAACAAAAGAGGAGTTAAACATAAATTTATCACAGTTTTAATTCATTGTTAACTAACAACGCATTTTAATTAACCATGAATTAAAACTCTATTAATTAATCATAAATGTAATTAATAATAAATTTTATATGTATGTATGTATAATTTTAGAATGGTTTTATTGACCAACACAAGCATGAACCCAATTCAAGTACATCAAATTATAGTACGAATTGGGTAAATCAGGCTTGACCTTGAGTTTGGTCCGAGTTCGGACTTTAAATCCAAATTTTAGGGTTAGTCCCAGATTGATCATAAACCTGGCCCACCACGCCTGACTTGCACCCCTATGGACGGACATCTTGTTGCAATAGCTGAGTCCAGCAACTATGTTGGGGGTGGTGTTGGTGGTTCCCGAAAGGACAATTGACTGGGGAGAAGGAGAAAGTTTGATTTTTCAAGCACTGTTAGTGGTGTTGTGGTTCCCGGAAGGACGATTAACAGGGGAGAAGGAGAACGTTTGATTTTTCAAGTGGTGTTAGTGCTATTGATGGTTCCCAGAAGGACAATTGACAGGGGAGGAGAATGTTTGATTTTTAAGTGGTGTTGATGGTTCTCGGAAGGACGATTGACAAGGCAGAAGGAGAATGTTTGATTCAAGGTGTTGGTATCTTGCTCTGTTGCTGTTTCACCTTTTCTAAACTTATAATAGCTTGCGACTTTTTTTTCTGCGTGTATCGTTGTTGTATGTTAATAAGTAATTCCGGGATGTATACATTACTTGGAATAAATTTCAAGTCTAAAACTCTGAACGTCCAAACCTTATTATGGGCCGTCCTTCTACTTTTCTTCCTATAAAACGGAGTGATATTTTCTGGGTGTCACTAGTATTTGAAAATCCGATTTCGAATTCGATATTTGATATAATCAAATTGAATTCGGATAATTCAAATATCTAATTGGTCGAATTTGGATATCTTATTCTTACCAAATAGTTAATTGAATTCGAATTCAGATATAGTCAATTCGATAAATATCCGAATTCGACCACTTATTTAATTCTTATATATAATATATAAAATATTTTATATAATATATATAATAATTAAGTTATATAAAATATTTATTTTATACATTTATTAATTATCTAAAATAATTAATTAATTGAATTCGAATCGAATCAAATATTCAAATATTTAATCGGATTCGAATTCGGATATTGCCTGATCCTATTCAAATTCGATCAGTTTGCACCCCTACACAAAATCAATCTCAGAAGCCAAAAACGTAATTCTTGATCTTTGGATAAGCTCTCATTTTTTCGATCAATTTAGCAAATCATCCCTCTTGAATTCAATATTGCCTAGATTTTATGATAAAGACACAATGGGAAAAACTCCAGCACGGGAACCATCGGAGAATGCCCACAAGATTATAGAGTACAAAAGGGGGTAAAAAATGGCAATGCACTCTTTCTATCTTTCAAAATTTTGTTACATGGAAGACAATCATCTAAATAGAGGTAGAAGGGTATTTTCAAAATTTTTGAAAAAAGTATCACTTAGGTGATGTCACATGTTAAGGAAAGTTAATGATAAGAGAGGTTTTAGACAATTATCAAAGAAACTTAAAATACTCTAAAATAATATATAAATAGTAAGGTAGAGCTAGGCCCTTTTTGAGAATACTTAAAAGAAATACTTATTTAAACAAGTACTTCTTTTAAGACACAGATCACACGTTAAGTGGTTTTTAAGTATTTACGGGTATTTGGTGAAAATAAGGGTAAAAAATATTTATTATTAAAAAAACCACCTCTTAAAAAAGTGACATGATGTGATTTTTTTTTCACTTTCTGAAGTACTTCAAATGGGACAAACTTGACTCTGTTTTTTTTTCTTTAATGATAAAACTAGCACCACTCGATTTATCTTCTTCTTCCATTCAAAACGCTAGCGGCGGCGTTTGGTTGCAAGCTAACCGGCGGAGTTGGGTGTATAATACATCCGTTCTTTCCGGCGGAATTGGGTGTATAATACAGCCAACGGAGAGAGAGATGGCTGAGTCATTGCCGCAGCTTCTGAGCTGCTTCCTTGGACTTCATAGAAGAATAACCGACCACTTTTTTCGTCTGCTGGGTTTCCAAATGTTTTCAAGTAAATCTCATTTTTTTGTTTTTTATTTTTTTTGTCTTTTTTCCTTGCTTTTCTGAATTCTAAGGTGAGATCCATTTGGTGAAGGAGGATTTGGTGTTGTTGAGTAGAGATTTGCTGTTCCTTTTTCCTCAGAGCATCGGTGAGTTTCCAATTTTTGATTCAATTTCCTTTTTTTTTATTTATGAAGAAAATAGGTTTGATTTTTTGTGCTGTTGTTGCTTTGAAGTTGGTATTTGTACAAATTCTGCAAGAAATTTCGGGTTAGGGTTTATGTATTGATCTACGTGTTTTATGTGTTCAATGTCTGATGGTTGTACAAATCACGGGATTTAAGTGGAGAATAAGAGTTAGGTTTCTGTCATTTTCTTTTGCAGCTCCAACACTGTTTTAGCAAACTCCCATTCTTCTTTTTTTTTTTTTAAAGAAAAGGGATTTTTTTTCGCTACACAGCTCTTCTTCCGAAAGTCGAACTTCCATGCTCTTTGGTCTTTTTTATCATCGATTGTTGGTTTTGTGAGTGGAATTTAGTTATCTAATAAGTAATTTCAATGGCCTCGTGTCTCAAAGAGCGGTGTTGATTTGGCTGTCTAGTTGTTGCTTCAATTGTTTGATCGTTGTTATCTATTGGTTTTGATGTAGAATCCGTGAGATCTACAACAGAAAGTTGGTTAGAAATTATTTGATTTGCATTTATTATTATTGGTTTGGAGTGTTTAAGGAGGATGTGGAAGTGGAGAATGAATTTACCGCTGCCTGGTTCTGTGTGTGGGGAAGATGATAAATAGTAAATTTCTCGGGATTCTGAAGAAGAAAAGGAAGAAGTACGAGATGGAAATGGTTAAAATTGTCATTTATAAATATAAGCACTTATTAGGAAGTATCTTATCAAACATTCTTACCCCAATAAGTGAATGGGTTATCAAACAGCATAAAGGGTTGTTAAAATAAGTTTTAACAAATATTTAATCTTGACTAAGGCACAATGATTGAAGTCTCTGAACTGGTGATATCCACGTCCAAAGCAATGTGGTTTGCATTTGAGATACCAGCAACGGCCCCAATGAAGTTTATTATTAAAAGTGTTTTGGAGGGATAAGCAATGTGGTCCACTTGAATGCATATAACTTTGAAAACTCCTCATCATCTTCAACCTTTGATGTCACAGTGAAGTTGGTATCTATACCAGCTAATACTTTCAAGGGCCCCTGGAAGACTGCAAAAGGATGTGAAGAAACACCTCCAACAATCCAAAACTGCTCATTCCTCCACCAATCATCAACACTCCATCTCATTTCCAAGATACTTGTAGCAAAGCTACATATGAAAAGTGATATGAACCATAAACTTGCCAAGATTCTTAGCTACAATAGAAACAAGATATTAAAGAAAGGTGTTCTGCCACTAATATAATGACCAGTTTCATACCTTTGGTGTGATAAATTTTCTTGTGAGCAAGCACGTAGCAGGTAAGGTACAATATGCCAACAGTAGAATTAATGTCAACAGGTATACTGTAGCACCTATGTAAGACCAATGTTCCAACCATTTCAAACCACCTTCAAATCCATACTATATAGGGTAGTGCCTATACAAGAAAATTTCTATAAAACCAAGAGAAAATCGAAGGACTTGGTGCAGACGATCAGAGAGATTGATGGGTGCAGATCCCTTAAATTCTGGCCTTGGTGGGATACAATATATTGATCACCACACATGGTAGTGCATCTTAAAACCAATAAAGATATCTTCTGTAACAGAACCATAGATCCAACCAACCTGGCGAGAATATATGCTTATTAGAGGGTAAATGTGAAACCTGAAAATAGACAAACAACCCTATACACAAGACTAGAGAAGAATCCAACTAGTGATTTACCTCTTTTCCCCAATCTGTTTTATCTTCATAGCCACAACTGATGACATTAGTTCTCCTCAGATATCATCATAGCTGATTTTGCTCTCTGTGAGCTTTCAAGAAGTTTATCATTGAAATTAAACTTTCAAGTGTCCATAATTCTATTCCTCAAGTCATAAAAATCTTAGGCTCCATTAAATTTCTATTTTATGAATATAGAAAGATTTTTTTTAGATTTGTGTATATTAAATCTAAAATGAACAGAAGTAAACATTTATTTTGTAATACATATTCTTTTAAGTAAATATTTTTTTTTTGTTTAAGTATCTATAAAACAAAATAGAAAAGATTGTCAATTGAATTATCTTATTTTGTTCTTTATGCTCTTAGAAAAAATGGTTCTTAGCTCTTACTATACCAAAAAATAAAATAAGCAATAAAAATATTAGAAGCATAACAAATATGAAAATTCTTGAAATTCAGATAACAATATATAGGCTTTTGTCTTTTCCTCTTCAATTTTCAAATAGCTTTAGTAATATAAAAATTATTGATGGTGTGCAATCCAGTCACTTGCGTGGCTCCTGAAAGGTACCTGAGATGGAGAAGACGAGGGATTCCCGGGGCTTACCTGGCGGGAACACTCCGATGCCTAAGTTAGAGTTCTGTGAAAGATGCAAAGAGAGGAAGAAAGCTAAGAGTGCAGATAGCGCGAGTATTGGGAAGTTACCTCTGTCCTTTGGGATTGGGCTGCTTATAACAGAACTCTGTCGAATCAGGCCCACCTGCCACTGACAGGGCAGGTACAACCGCCACTGTCGTCCTACTACAGCCGTTATAGCCAGGGCTGAGGTGGCACGTGCAGGGCCGTCCTTGCAGGGTACGTACCTGTCAGGTGTAAGACACCTTCTAAAGGTGGCGGGCTCGACACTGTCTGATGAGAGACGTGGTTGCAGTCTTGAGCTACCCTGCAAGTGGCAAGCTGCCTGTGGCAAACTGCTCTTCTGCTCTTCTGCGATGGCCGACAGGAGGCCTTCCTGTGATGTGCCAAACTGCTCTTCTGCGAGCTACCCTGTACTGAGCTACCCTGTAAGTGGCAAGCTGCCTGTGGCAAGCTACACCGAGCTGTCTGGCCTGAGGTGTCTCTACCTCAGGGGTATAGAGGCAGATCGTGGTGTTCCTGTTCGGGAGTGGCCTAAAATCCATTGGGAGGAGCTCGGGCATTAGGAAAGGTCAGGGGGCCCCGAGCTCGGAGGTAGCTCGGAGCGCCTCAGCCTTGGGAAGGAGGCGCAAGCCAGGCGGCTCTCGGCGAGTAGCCTAACCCGTCGAGTTGCCAGACTAAACTCAGTGAGCCCTTCCCACCGAGTTGCGGTTGCACTTGTTGTGCTGTCACGCTGAGTCATCGCTTGAGCAAGGTCATGCCCACGTGTACCCGTGCTACAAGGTCGGGCCAAATCACCCTCCATCAATTGCCCCCCACTCCTTGTGCTGGCGGTGTTGACCCAATGCGGGGAATTCATGATGCGCTGGGTGGATTTGGCTTTGGTACTCATGCCACTCCGTCGTGCGCTTCGCCTAGCTGGACCGGTCCAGTGCTCGGCTCGATCTAAAGAAACCCGGGTCACGTTCGGTTTACGCGTGGACGTCAAAAAATGCGCTAAACTAATTTCACCTCGAGGAACCCGTAGCCGGTTTCTTTGAGAGCTGTTGGATCATCTCAATCTCGACCGTTAGCGTTCGGATGCAGTGGCTATAAATAGTGGGGGACCCTTGGTCATTTCTTCGCCACAAAGTCTTCAGCGTCAGTATTAAGCTCGCGTCTGAGGATCCTAGCTCGGGTTTTCTAGTTCGGTTCGCGTGTCCTGCGGTGAGTCCCCGAACTTCCTTTTCTTTTTTGAACATTCTTTCCTTTCCGTGTTATCATGTCGTCTAGTCTAGGTAGCCTTATTGACGAGCCCGAGGTGGGTACCTCGGCTCAGGGTGGCTCTTCTGTCGCCCAGCCATCCGACGTACGGGTGGCTTCAGGTCATCTGGCATCCACCTCCCACTGAGGTCGGGTGCCAGATCAGTTCGGCCCTTCTACCATGACTCCAAAGAGACTCCAGGACCTCATACAAAGGTTCCACCTTCCTGGGGAGTACTCTTATAGTCTTCCTACCGACAGCTTTCCATGGGAGCACGGTCTCGATAAGATCGTGGTCTTCAGGGAGCAACTGGTTGTCGGACTCCGCCTTCCTCTTCACCCTCTGATTGTTGAGGTGCTAGTGCACTTTAACATTACCTTGGACCAGCTTCACCCGAATTCCATACAGAATGTGGTTGGGACCATTTCCCTCTGTTTCGACCGCTCCTTCCCCATTGACCTAGATATCCTCAGTACCATCTTAGCAATAAAGAAGAACACTTCGGGCACTCTCCTCGGGCACAGGTGGGCTTATTATCTGTCCCCCCGCCCGGGTTTTAAATTAATGCATAAGCTCCCGAGTAAAGTCCCGGCCTGGAAAAGGGACTACTTTGTAGTTCGGAGCATCACGAGGTGGCCCTTCTCTACTGACTGGAGGGTTGCCATTCAAGACCCCGGTGTTATCCTCGATGGGAAGACTAAGAAGTCACTTCAGTCGTGGGCTC